TAGGAGAACACTTCAACCTCCCTGGCCACACAACAGCAGATGTAAAGGTAGCCATCTTACAGCAAAAAAACTTCAGGACCAGACTCCAAAGAGAAACTGCTGAACTCCAGTTCATTTGCAAATTTGACACCATCAGATCAGGATTAAACAAAGACTGTGAATGGCTTTCCAACTACAGAAGCAGTTTCTCCTCCCTTGGTGTTCACACCTCAACTGCTAGCAGAGCACCTCACCCTCCCTGATTGAACTAACCTCGTTCTCTCCATACTGATTTATACCTGCCTCTGGAGATTTCCATTACTTGCAGCTGAAGAAGTGAGGTTCTTACCCACAAAAGCTTATACTCCCAATACCTCTGTTAGTCTTAAAGGTGCCACAGGACCCTCTGTTGCTTTTTACAGATTCAGACTAACATGGCTACCCCTCTGATACAGATAGAATAGTTATCTTTAAAAATGTGTTACTTCCTTTATGATGCCTGAGTTAACTAAATAACTTTACCTCAGTATTTATATTGTTCAAGGCATTTTCTATAGTATGTATTGGAAAGGAAGAGTCACAGCAATAGTGGCACAGCTCAAGGACTTAACCAGGTATGTTCACAGGCACCATGATAAGCACCTGGCTTTCTGGTGGAGGGGAGGCAACATAAAGACTGAACCTCCCTGATCTCTCTGGAGAACACAACAACAGGACAAAGCTACAGTGTCTCTCTGGATGCTCAACAGGATCAGAAGTCAGGTGATTTCCTTTCCTTACCTGCAGAAGTTGAGATGTGAGGAGTGGGTAAGTAGCATCGTTACAGAGAGGAGACCAGTTTCATTGCCCTCAGGCTGCTCCTCCACTAGAAGAACTTTTGGGAAGCAGGAGTTGAAAAGATCGAGGCAGGCAGAAGAAACTCTGAGAATATAAAAAGATCTTGAAAAGGAAGAATAAAAACGCAGGGGGAGGGCAAATGAGGTACAGAGTGAGGGATTGAACCAGAGTGAAGGAGAGAAGGGCTTCCAATGGAGCCTCTAGAGTCAGTGGAGATTGGAGACAGAACCACTGGCCATCCCATGGTGTGGTGACAACATTCTCTCTCCCCTCCCCCTGCCGCACCAACAGAATATTCCCAGGAAAATGAAGTGAGAAGATCCGTAGTGTATTTGCCTCCCCAGAGCAGAGATCCCTCCTGTGGGGCTCTACTTACTACTTTCTAAAGCATAAATAAGGAACCTGAACTACATAATTTCTATTTGCTACTTTAACTATTTGTCTAGTAACATTAAGCTCAAAGAAGGAGTTTTGTCTGAGGAACACAACCTCCGTTATTAGCACCACATGTTCTGAGATAAAGAAAAGAATCTTTCTTATTTCAGAAATCTCATTTCTGAGTTGCCACCCCAGCCTCTGACTTTTTAACTTCTTTGCCATTTTGAATGGATTTCAAAACAAATCAACAGACACATAGTCTTCGGTTATTTTTGGCTAGTGTTGGATAAATGAATAGTCCAAAAAGTTTCTGACGTTGTGCCAAATGTCCATGTGCCTAAAGCTTAAGAGTCATGTTTTCCAGGAAACCTTGAAGTTTGCTGTGATTTATGCTTTTGATATTGTCATCCATTACTGTATTCAAAGGAGTTGTCTGCATAAAGGTTGATAGAGGGCAGTCAAACCTTTAGCACTGCACAAATTATATCATTAGGTGTCTGCCTATGGGTCGACTTGTTCTCAAGCCCCCAAAACTAAACACAGCTGAGATCTAAATCCTTTGACAAATGAAGGCCCTGTGCAAGGATCACGAATAACATATGGCAAATGGAATTTATAAACACTACCCTGCAGTACAATATACACCTGATAAATGGCAATCTACAATAATACTGTTGAAAAAGACACTTGATGCAAGCCTGATGCATGGCAGAGAAACATTAAGAGAAATTTATAAGACATTTCAAAGCAGACAATGGTTTTGTACAATTGCACTGTCGGCAATTTCTTGTGCCACATAAGGGCTGCATCCTTATTTTCTTGAACAAGGACATGAAAGAGGATAGTCATTTGGCCTGTCATGCCTTAAGTCTGTGGAGCCACAAGGAAGAAAGGTGGTAATAATTACGGTAGTGTAGACACAGATAGAACAAGAGACACACATAATGGAGATAGGAACAAACACAGGAAGGTTGAAAGGAGGATAGGAATGATGAGGTACTGCTTGAGTTTAATTTTTCAGGTGTATTTGTGGTAATAATAAATGTAACACCTTGCATGATTATAGTGCCTTTGTCATAAGAGGTTCCAAATAATGTTGCAGTTAAACTGAAATATAAATTAAATGCAGGGATCACTTCACAGCCGTCTCTGGGGTGTAACACTTAAGTGAAACAGAGAAACATTGCCCAATGGTTTAGGACAAAAAGTGAAGGATGCTGCATCTGAAATGCCAGAGGGAATTTTTGTACACAAAATATAATTATCCCACTTGGAATTTGCTCAGGACACCAGAGTTAATGCTCCTGCTTTTGTGGAAAGTACCCTGGGATTCTTAATGATCAGAGGCCGTTTCACAGCTCATTAAAAATTGATTTTTATGGGGGGTGGTATCTGGTTTGTTTTGCTTCAAAGACACCTAAAGTGATCAGTAAACATTGGCCTCTCCTCAGTTACTGGCTAGGGCATTTCAAGCCCAAAGGTAACAACATCTGAGTATATCTGCTCCCAGTGTGATACTCACTGGTAGCAAAACCCACTGACTAGCTACTCAAACCCACCTATAACCCTACTGTTTCAGGCTGCTTCTTTGCTGATTTGGGCTTAAATCAGAGACCCTGTTCCTTTTTGGGATCACGCACCCTGCCTGGATTTGGTCCTTTTATGTTTGCCACTTCTCCTCTGAGGCCCCAATTTAGCTGCACTCTGTCTGCAGCTCTTTAGCAGCTACTCAGTTGCTCCTGCAGCTCCTTGTCCCATTCATAGTAGCCAACGTGTGAAAATTATTTGAGGGACAATTCCCCAAATGAGCCCAGGGGCTGCCAGGTCCCCAGCCTCCAGGACTGTACTCAGCTGTGTGTATTCAGCTGAAATTTTGGTTTAATAAGTTTCCTAATTAGCAAGGGATACCTCCCGATACCTCCTCACAGCAACTTATCTTTATAGTCATGTCAAAAGATCTAAAAATAAGTGATGGAAAACCCCAAAGCGTTTGCAGTTGAGATAAGCCTGATCCAGATACTTCTCTGAACCAGTGGAGATTTCCCTGAGATTTCTTCATCACCCTCTTCAGACAGCCTACCCCCTCCTCGCCCCCCCCCCCGCCTTGGATCTGTCTCTCTGATGGAGGCTCACTGGCCAACTATCCCTCCCTCCACGTATGTTCCTAGAGGGATGATAGGTATGTTCCCCACCCTTCTGACACCATCACGGTGCAGCCTCCACTTGCCTTCCTTTTGGGTATGTGGAAGGCGGTTGTCTGCTTCTTCCACCCAATATTTTCTATCCCCCTAATTAATTCCCTGCCCCTGGTGCTGAAAATACATGGGGCAGGGATATGTCTTCCCCTGTCTTTGTTGCTCACCCCAATCAGTCAGTTCAGCTCTGGGCAGGGTGACTGATGTTTTTCTGTTCTGCTCTGCTCTGTACTCGCTGTAGGTGGCTCAGCAAAGAGAACCTGTTGGCTTCTTGCCCTACTGGCCACACACTGACATTGCAGTTTTAAACTACTCAGTCAGCAACGGAGCTGGAATTTTGGCCACATCTGTGAACTATGGAGCTGGCTGAAAACGACAATGTGTAGTTCGTTGGTTTTTTGTGAAAATCAGGGACAAATTTTACCTGAGAAATTTTCATTAAAAAAGTTCCCATTTTTCAACCAGCTCTAGAGAGACTAGCCTGCACCAGAGACTAGCCTGCAAAACCCATCATCTGAATTCCCCTGCCCTGCCGTAGTAGCCAGTTGCTCCTTCACAGTTCCTGGCTCCTACTTACAGCCTGTGGGATAGTCCCACCATCTTTGTTTTAGTTCCTTCCTAGCTTCCTGCTCTTGGCAGCTCCTCGCAATGCTCTGGGTTCTCTCCCCTCCCTAAGCTACCTCACATGATCCCTCAGCAGCATCTTTTGGCCTCTGTCTGGGTCTGTTCTATTAACTGCCCATCATTTTCTCCTGAAGCTAAAATGTAATATTTTGAAGTAGTAGTGTGAATTTATCAAATACTCCATGAGCACCTTATACTTGGTATATACTGGTACCTCTAGTCACAATTGTCCTGCATGGAGTACATTATGTAAGAGCCTTATCAAGAAATATAGACATTGTTTGAAATTTAAGAAAAGATGTATATTTAAATAATAATGACTAAACAGATGGCATTTCCTGGAAGTTAATGACTGTCTAGAACAGGTTTTTAACCAAGTTAGTGATTAATTACTAGGCGACGCCCATTCCAAACATCGTTATTGCAATTATAAACTGTGCAAAATTAAGTGAAGAAAACAAAAAGAATGTTTTGAATAGTTACACATGAACTACACATTGTCATCAATATAGTGTTATATTTACAGTATAAGTCTTATGAATTAAAGATCATGCAAGCCTTCTGTGTACAGTGCTCCCATTGACTTATAGTGGAACCTGCAGGACCCCACTTGATATGCCCTTCCAGCTTGAGTGTGAACCACTGATAACTACTCTTTGGGAACGGTTTTCCAACCAGTTATGCACCCACCCTATAGTAGCTCCATCTAGGTTGTATTTCCCTAGTTTTCTTATGAGAAGGTCATGCGAGACAGTAACAAAAGCCTTACTAAAGTCAAGATATACCAGGCCCTGGTGACTTGAAGACATCTACCTTGTCTAGGTAATTTTTAACTTGTTTCCCTATTCTAGCCTTTGATTTCACTTTCACTGGCATTCACTATGTCAGACTTCCAATTGCTACTAACGTTTTTTGGTGAAAGCTGAAACAAAAAGTCATCTAGCACTTCTGCCATTTCCACGTTTTTTGTTGTTCCCAACTTCCCCATTGAGCAGGGCCGGCTCCAGGCACCAGGCAACCAAGCACATGCTTGGGGCGGCATCTGGTAAGGGGCGGCCAATCTTGGGATGGCGGGGGGCAGGACGGCGCGGCATTCCGCGGCGTGGGGTGCTCCGCCGGCGTGGCGCGCGGTGCTCAGGGAGGGGTTCCGCCGGCGTGGCACGTGGCGCTCAGGGAGGGGTTCCGGCGGTGCGGTGCTTGGGGTGGGGGTGGGCTCCGGCAGCATGGCGCTCGGCAGGGGTGCGGTGCGGGGTGCGGCACTGTGGGGGGTTTCCAGCGGCGCTCGGCACGGGGGGGGCGGCTCGGCGGGGCGGCGCTTTTTTTTTTGCTGCTTGGGGCAGCAAAAAAGTTAGAGCCAGCCCTGCCATTAAGTAACAGGCCTACCCTGTCCTGGGTCTTCCTCTTGCTTCTAATGTATTTGTAGACTGTTTTCTTGTTACCCTTTATGTCTCTAGCTAGTTTGATCTTGTTTTGTGCCTTGACCTTTCTAAATATAACATACTTGTGTTATTTGTTTATATTCATCCTTTGTAACTTGACCCACTTTTTGTAGGACTCTTTTTTTGATTTTTTTGGTCATTAAAGATCTCCTGGTTAAGCCAGGGTGATTCTCTTGCCATACTTCCTATCTTTCCTACACAGTGAGTTTGCTCTTGTGCCCTTAATAATGTCTCTTTGAAAAACTGCCAACTCTCTTGAACTGTTTTTTCCCTTAGACTTGTTTCCCATGGGATCTTACCTATCAAATCCCTGAGTTTGCTAAAGTCTCCCTTCTTGAAATCCATTATCTTTATTGTGCTATTTTCCTTTCTACCATTCCTTATAATCATGAACTCAATCATTTCATAATCACTTTCACCTAAGCTGCCTTCGACTTTCACATTCTTAAACAGTTCCTCCCTATTTGTCAAAATCAAATCTAGAACAGCCTCTCCCCTAGTAGCTTTCTCTACCTTCTCAAATAAAAAATTGTCTCCAATACATTCCAAGAACTTGTTGGATAATCTGTGCCCTGATGTATTATTTTCCCAACAGGTGTCTGGGTAGCTGAAGTCCCCCATCAACCCCCAAATCCTGTGCTTTGGTTGATTTTGTTAGTTGTTTAAAAAAAAGTCTCATCTACCTCTTCCTGGTTAGGTGGTCTATAGTAGATCCCTACTATAACATCATCCTTG